TTACTAAAGTATGCCTGATGTATACTATGTAGATGTTATATGTTAGTTTTAGTTCAGGTATTTCTATGAAAATCACTATAGTGACAAACAAAACTAAAAAAAATGGTAAAGTTACAATTGGTTTTACTCACCTGTTAAGACGCACTCTGGTCTGTCATTTTTCTAAAGGAAGTATATGAAGTAATCGTTTAATTGAAAGGATCATTTCATACCAAAACACTGAATGGCGAACTTCAAATTAGCATAAAGCTAGCCACGTTACCTTTAGTAAAACAAGAACTACTATCCTAGCTAATAATACCGATCACCAACGTAACGTTATCTATATTTAAACTAATAACAAACGGTATAACGATGAGTAGTTTTATAAAGAGAAGTGATGAAAACGTACCTTTACTGTAACGTGCCGCTTTCGGGACAGCCTCCTCTCCTCCTTCCCCCCGCTCGATCTGGCGCCAAAAAAAAAACTCCTCCTACGGCCCAAAAAAGGAAGCCTCTTCTGATTGGCTGAATTTTGCTGATCTCTGGACAGAGGCAGAGCCCGCCGTGGCACTTACAGATGCATAAATGCCTTTTGCACCAAATATCAGACTGACGTTTGGGGCAAAAGAGCGAGAGCGCAAAGCGTAGATTTGCACGTGAAAAACAGCACTTGAGACCCGTAGCGGCAGATTTGAGCCGTTGTAGTAACGTAGTTGTGTTTGTGCTCAGAAAAAATTTATCCACAAAATAAATATTTAAGAGAAAACTTTCTACACACATTCAACTCTATTTGTGTGGATACACATTCTACTCTACAGATGTGCAAGTTTTATCTGTGACTTCACATTTTTGGATGCAACTGTGTAAATGTGTTTTGCACCATATTCACTGCAACAATAGAAGCAAAGAACATGAGCGGATGAGTTTCTGTATTTGTGATTCATCCGATAGGATTTGTGTACCTGTACTGAAGGAGTTGAACAGATGTAAACGTTGCGTTGTGTTTGTTGGAGACAAAAAATATCTACACACTTGCAAATTTGCTCTGCAAATACAAATTTACAGATACACATTTGAAAACTTGCTCTGCGTGTACAAATTTAATAATACACATTTGTGGCTATTCTTTATAACTACAAATTACACTTTTACAGCTGCTTGGGAGATTTGCCCCAATAATACCTTCACCACCAAACACCACCTCTTCTGACAGCTGAACGGGACTCTGCAAAATAAACCCTGACACTGACCAATGTGAGGAGAGTTTACTCACACGTGACTTGTTTTAGCTCTTTTGGTCCGATTAGAAACTTTGCAGTGTGAAAGCGAACCGCTCCAAGAGCAAAGAGCAACATTGTAACAATTGTAATCTCTGTTTCGGAACAACTGAATCGATTCACAGGTGTGAAAGCACCCTAACACATCATAAGCTAGCTTGGTTACAAAAGTACACAGTTTGACTGTAATTATCCAAATAGTGAGTGTTTCATTCCGAAAAACTGCTGGTTCAAGTGGAGTGTAAAGGGAACCTGAAATGGATCAGAATACCGGTGAAAAATGACTGTTTTGACTTTTGTAAATTCATTAAAGAAGGTAATTTTTTTTCAAATATAGAGTAATTTTAAGTTTATTACCATTATTATTGTAGTATTATTTTCTTTGAAATAAATTGTTAATATTCGTATTAAGTAGTCATACATTTATCCATTAAACAATCAGTGTATTATAAATCGACTTGATCCTAAATAATATTGATCACACTTTTTTTGCATATAGTAATGTTAACAAGTCTTTGTACAGTATTTTTCTGTACATTTGACTTTAATTCTATCCTACTGAATTCTATCCTTCAATAGAAGAACTTGTAAGTGATGTTCACACTCAAGCAAGAGATTCTGTTCTAAAATGTCTTTCATCAGAGGTACCTGGAAAAACCCTAGACAAAGTTAAAGAATGTTTTCAACAGCTAGAAAATCTATTCTCTTACCTCAAAACTGAAACAAAAAGGCAGAGACACTTTGAGAGAAAATGGAAAATTGTTGAACCAATGGAATATGTTCTTGGGGTGCGCTATGATGTGCGCAAAGACAAAACTACAGGATTATACGGTCAAGTTCCTGTCAATGACAAATTTGTGTATGTGCCCATTTTAGAAACTCTTGAGTCTATGTTTACAAATTCTGAACTTTGCCACTTTTTCCAGCAGGTTAAAAGTCAGCAAGATAGTATTTACAGAGACATTAATGATGGTTTGTACTCCAAAAAGCATGTATTATTTGGTCAAAAAGAGCATGCTCTTCAAATACAGTTATATTACGACAACTTTGAAACCGCAAATCCACTTGGATCCAAAAAAAGGAATTCACAATCTTGGCTGTGTTTATTTTATTTTAAGAAATTTGCCCCCAAAGATTAATTCTGTTTTAATGAACATCCATCTTGTAGCCCTTTTCCATTCAGAAGACTTAAAAAAATACAGCTTTGAACCAATTTTACAGCCTCTAATAGAGGATCTAAAAATTCTGGAGTCAAGAGGAATCAGTGTACCCTTCTCAGATACTATGTTACAAGGTTCTGTCATTCAGGTTACTGGTGACAATTTAGCTTTACGTGGACTGTTTGGTATGGTTGAGTCATTCAGTGCAACCTACTGTTGCCGGTTTTGCTTAACTGACCAAACAAAGTTGCAGTCAGTATTTAGTGAACATGATCCAGATTTGATCATTCGAACAAAAGAGCTATATTTAGAACATTGCAGTGCTCTAGCACAAGATCCCAATCTTGCACCACAGTTTGGCCTTAAGAGAACTTGTCCACTCAACATTACAGTTTTTTCATACTTTAGAGAATTTTGCTGTTGACATTATGCACGATTTACTCGAAGGGGTTGTGCAGTACGAGTTAAAATTGCTTTTACGGTACTTTGTTAAAGACTGCATTTCATCAGATACACTTTCAGAAAGAATTCAGAGCTTCAACTATGGGTACAGTGAAAGAAAGAACAGACCAAGTGGAGTTAAACTTGATGACGGCAGCAAGGACCTTGGTCTCAATGCTATTCAGTCATGGTGCCTTCTGCGCAATACCCCCTTGATATTTGGAGATCTAGTTGACATGGACAATGATTACTGGAGACTGATACTGCTTTTGATTCAGATTGTGAACATTGTGTTCTCACCAGTTGTAACACAGTGTATGACTTATTTTTTTAAGCATTTAATTTCTTATCATCATAAACTTTTTAAGTCCATATTTCCTGAAAAAAAAGATTGATTCCGAAGCACCATCTAATGATCCATTATCCTAGATGTATTAGGAAAATAGGTCCACTTATACATATGAGGTGCATGCGATTCGAAGGAAAGCATAACTTTTTTTAAGAAGTCTGTAAAAAAAACCTTTAAAAACATAACCAAAACCTTAGCCAAGAAACATAAACATCAGTTGGCTTTTCATTGGAGAGTTTTTATTTTAAAAGATTTCAATTTGGTCCTTTTAATGAAGTCTCTACTTGCACTCTGGAGGGTAATAAGCTTTTAACTGAAACTTGGAATGAACCCACTGTCTCCACTACAACCCGGGTAAAAAATTATGGAACTGAATACCAAGTTGGAATGTTTGTTGCTATTCTGTTGAAAATGAAATGCCTGTTTTTAATAAGATTAGCAGTATTATTGTGAAAGATGGACAAGTTTTAATTTTGGCCAGTAATGTAATTACAGTGTGTTTTGATGAACATGTGCATGCATGCTGTATTGAGGAGGTGGGTAATATTTTCACTCTCATTTGTGTGGATGATTTGATGTGCTATAGACCTAATGACAGGCAGTTTTCATATGACCGTGATGAGAGAACTTACATTGTTCCCTGTTGTGTTTTTGTTTCAGACTGGAATTAACTGTAGAGGTTTTTAAATGCTGTGACTGAATGTGAATGTTAAATGTGGTGTACCTTAATAAAGTTTTTGCAATCTTTTCTGCAACTGTCATGCCATTTTAATTTTATTGAAAGAACCAAAACGTAACAAAAGTGCTACTATAAATCAGTATTTTCAACACTCATTAATGCTATATTCTAATTACACTGGTGTTGATCTTAAAAGTAGAGTGTTAAAAATTAACGCTGTGAGTACCAACACTGGTGTAGTGCAGTAACAACAACAAATAGTGTTGACTAGGTTCAACAAGGAGTGTTGAATTTACACTTAGAGGATGTGAAAAAGTTAACACTATCAAAAGTGTAAAAAAACAAAATAACACTCTTAGTGTGGACACATATAGACACTTTGCTGGTGTTAAATTTTACACTGTCGGTGTTCTTTTTATACCAGCGGTTCTTTACTAATAAAAGATGCAACACAGGACAATTGAATGGGCTTTTTAAACTTGAAGTCCTGGTATATGCAAACTAACCATCCTGAAGCTCCACCCTATTTGATGTGTGGTGTCTTCCCAGTGATTTGTTTCTCATTCAGGGAGTCAGACAGAGAACATCATCCAAAACAACACTAGCTACATGAATACACTGGAGGGCAGAGTACAGATGTATCTGCACCAGTACAATCACTTGCAAAGAGATTAAGCCACAGTGGTGCTGTTTGCCAGATGTTTTTGAAACTGTTCTTCTCTCATTCACTATTACTGTGTTTACGGAAAACGCAAGAAGCGAAACACATTTACAACCCCCCCCCATACTGCAGTGTAGGAGTGTTGGAAAACAGTATATCGTCACTCAGCCTTTTCAAACAATATTCAGACATGAAACATTCGTTGCACATGAGAAAAGGTTTTGCTGCATTCATGTCATGTGTGCAACTTTTTGTTCAAGTGTTTCTTAAGCTGCGCCGAATGATTAAAACTCTGTAGACACTGATCAGATCTGCACGGTTTCTCTCCAATGTGAATCCTCTTTTGTGTGATTCAGATGCGTTAACTGATTAAACCTCTTTTTGGTGCGAACACTTGTACGGTCTCTCCAGTGTGAATTGTCTGGTGCAGTTTCAATTTTGGTACTGTAACAAAAGTCTTCTCACACTCAAAGCACGTATACTTTTTCACACCAGTGTGGATCTTCATGTGTTCACAAAGGTTTGCTGATTGGATGAAACTCTTCCCACACTGAGTTCTTGTGTATGGTTTCTCTCCAGTGTGGGTCTTCATGTGTTTATTAAGGTATTTGTACAGCAGTACAAAGTTACTTGTCAAATAAATTAACAAGGAAGATTATTTTTAGTTTAAGTTATTTAATCTTGTTTATTAAGACTGCAGAAAGATGCATGAAAAAAAAAAGACTGAATATTTTTTAAAGCATTTTGTGATATGTTAAAATGTGCCCCCAAAAGTACAAGTGACCCCTGCCTGCAAATAAACATTCAAAGGAAATGTATTAATGCAATTCAAATATATAAAATATGAATTGACGTTTACTTTAAACTTTAATTATTCTGTTTGGTTAAAATTATTTTTAAAAGAGTGTCAAATAAAAAAAAAATTCTAGAGTCACTCACCATAATTGTGGCTTAAGAGTATCGGTTCAGGCTCCGTTTTGGCACCGGTATTATTTTAAAAGTATCGATTTAGCACTGGTATCGAAACAAACCTAAATGATACCCAACCCTAGCGATTGGTCCATATTTTAAATTTCTGCCCATAGAGGTCATGGTTTGAGCTACGATTGGTCTTACACAGTCAAGTGATGTGACTTCGCAGGTCAGAGTTCATCAATCTTGTTCTTTGCAAGGCAGTGAACTGCGAAACTTGTCGCACAAACTTGCTTTTCGGGTCTAACGCATTTGCGTGCGTATGAATGGAAGTCTACGGGGAGAAAAGTCCCGTGTGACCACGGCTTTTGTGAATGGTTTCTCTCCAGTGCATACCTCATGTGTGTATTAAAGTAGGATGATTTACTGAAACTCTTCCCCCACTGAGGGCATGTGAATGGTTTCTCTCCAGTGTGGATCCTCATGTGTTGATTAAGGTTTGATGATTTGCTGAAACTCTTCCCACACTGAGTGCACGTGAATGGTTTCTCTCCAGTGTGGATCCTTATGTGGTGATTAAGGTGCGAGGAGCAGCTGAAATTCTTCCCACACAGAGTGCATGTGAATGGTTTCTCTCCAGTGTGGATCCGCATGTGGTGATTAAGATGTGATGAGCAGATGAAACTCTTCCCACACTGACTGCATATGAATGGTTTATCTCCAGTGTGGATCTTAATGTGGTGATTAAGGGATGATGATTGGCTGAAACTCTTCCCACACTGAGTGCATGTGAATGGTTTCTCTCCAGTGTGGATCCTCATGTGGTGATTAAGGGATGATGAGCGGCTGAAAGTCTTCCCACACTGAGTGCATGTGAATGGTTTCTCTCCAGTGTGGATACTTGTGTGTTGATTAAGCTGTGATGAGCAGCTGAAACTCTTCCCACACTGAGTGCATGTAAATGGTTTCTCTCCAGTGTGAATCCTCATGTGGTGATTGAGGTGTGATGACTGGCTGAAACTCTTCCCACACAGAGTGCATGTGAATGGTTTCTCCCCAGTGTGGATCCTCATGTGGTAATTAAGGTGTGATAAGTGGCTGAAACTTTTCCCACACTGAGTGCATGTGAATGGTTTCTCTCCAGTGTGGATCCTCATGTGAATCTTAAGATTATTTTTTCTTCCAAAACTCTTCCCACACTGAGTGCAGGTGAAACGATTCTTGTCTCTCCTTTTCAAAATACCATCAGTCTGTAAATGAGTTTTTTCCTCAATTTTGACATGATGTTCCTCCTCTTTACTCCCCTTATTCTCTTCAATTATGTCTTAAATAAATAAATAAAATATCAGTCTTAAAAACTGTCATCAAAAGCTGAAAAGTGAAAAGACACTGGAAACATTGACTACACACACTCAGTGATTTAGCTGCACATTAAATGTAAAATAAATCAGATCATATTTTGTTTGGTCCATTAACATGTACACATTTAAGAAGATTCAATTCAATGAACTTCATGAATTGAAATAACCATTACAGTTTAAAAGAAAGAATGGTTTTACCTTCGGGCAGAATGAAAATTTAATTAGAGGTGTTCCCATATTTAACTCTTCTTTAAAATGCCCAGAAATATAAATTGTTCTGATAATCAGTGTCAGCTTTGCACATGAGTTTGTAGTTCTGTCTTTATTTACATTGTCATACTTTTCTCATGTGGGCAGTCGGTGGAATCTGTGCAATATATTATGCAAGTAAATTTAATTTTGATAAATAAAATTATTCTCAAAAGTGACATTATTGTATGTGCTGTGAAAAACAGCCACAATCAAGCCACTGTAAGTATATTTATGTTAAAGATAATATGTGCAATTTATATATTATTATAAAATTAATAATGTTTTGTTTAGGTACATTGATACAGCCACAATCTTCTTATGATACAAACACAGATTAAATAGATCTGATCATGTAAATGTTTGTACTAACCATACTGCACTTTTTTTTTTTTTTTGCTCGAAACTGGATCAAAAAATCATCAAGAAGCAGTGTGTAAAATTGAAACTATTGACACTCAACCAGTTGTGCAATTAACAATGTTTTTTTTTCTTCTTATGTTCCTGCTCTCAGCTGTTTCTACCATTTACTGATGGTAAAAAAATAGTAACTGAAGTGACCTTTAACTAGTATTTTGCACTTTAAAAAATATGTTTTGTTTATTCAATTAAGATATTTTTCAGGGTCTTAATATGTATTCTTTAATTATTTTATATATATATTCTTATGTAAAAGGTTCACATTTATGCAACCAATAGTTAATAAATTGGTTATTTCCATACTTACTGTTGCTGTCTTTTGTTCTCAGTTTGATCTAGCCGTTCATAAATTCCACTCAACTAAATTGGTAAAAAATTTGTGCTGATATCGGATTTGCATTGGTTCGTACTGAAGGCTGCAATATCGGTATTGTATCAGAAGTTAAAATGTTGTATCGGGACATCCCTATTGATTATCCCTATTTGCGTCTCAATAAAATTATAAAAAAGCACATTTAAGACTATACACAAAATAAGACATTCACAAAGGTGTATCTTCTGGAAAAACACCAATTGACGGATGCTGCTTTTGGTTTTTAAAGAATCAAGCAGTTAAAAAAAAATCTAATTTGCAGAAGAGAAATTAAAAAAAAAATTGCAAAAAGAAAAGATTAAACATCTGGACTGTTAAAAAATTCTACTTCATATATTATTTCGACTCCAATACAACAGTTAAGTTAATTATCAATGACGGAGTGTAAAGCTTGCGTGCTTCAGCAGAGCGTCCTGCTGTTTTATGAATTTGGAGACGGAGAGAATGCACAGTTTAGTTTCACCTCAAGATATTGAAATAAAAACTAACACTGAACTTCTCATCACGCTCAAAGATTTCAACTAAAATGTACAATTGTTGTTAGTTGCACCCGCGGGATGCACAATGAACCTAACAAGCCATTTTTTAAATTTGAAATTCTTTAAGTATGTGAAAAAACCTCAGATGCTTTGTCATGTTGGTCGCGACACTCTGCTTTATAACTTATTACTTTCATTACAATATTTACACTTAGCTTTGTCATCGTTTTTCACCACATGTAGCCACTCTGCACTGCAAATTTTAGATAGTAGATTTAACTACCTTGGAGTTAAAATTAACACTCCCTCAGAGTTTATATGGGAACCACTATAAGTGTTAAAAATAACACTTTTGAAAGTGTTAACATTGTCTACACCAAGAGAGTGTTAATTAACAAACTCTTATTGTGTAAAATATCTGTTAAATTTCCGAAAAAATACCAGCAGCTGTGGTTGCCAGAATCTTTCTGTGAAAAACATGGAAGTTTTATATAACTGTATAAATTTACAAAAATTAACCATATTTCATGAACTAACACATTGTTTATTTTACATAATTATAGCTTAGTGCACAAAAATGTAAAGTCTTTAGATGCAATAATGTGTTCATGTGTGATTGCAATTAGCAAACAGATTTTGACTGCATTAGTAACTACACAGTTACCTTTAAACAAAAGAAGATACAGCATAACATCAAATTTTCCCAGTTCATCTTGGACTTGAACAGAGACGCTATTATCCTCCACAATGGTGACACAAAAACCGTTTTGCTGTTTTTCTTTCTTTTTTTTTTTTTCATTTTTAGATTTTACGGAAAAATACCAGCAGCTGTGGTCGCCAGTAATCTGCTGTTTTTCACATTCATAAATTCAGTTTACAGAATATTTCTGTTAAAAGCACATTCAACAGTCTGTATTTTTTATCGATCTCACACTGCAAATTTTAGATTTGGTAGATTTAACTATCTTAGAGTTAAAATTAACACTCCCTCAGTGTTTATATGGGAACCACTATAAGTGTTAAAATAACATTTTTGAAAGTGTTAAAAAATTTAACACCCAGAGTGTTAATTAGCAAACTCTTATTGTGTAAAATATCTGTTAAATGTATTTCAAAATACTGGCAGCAGTGGTTGCCAGTAATCTGCTGTTTTCAACATTTTAGATTCGTAAATTCAGTTTCCAGAATATTTGTTAAAAACAAATCCCATAGTCTGTATTTTTCATTCGAACACACTTAAGCCCTAAATTCCAGAGCAAAATCCAAACTAGTGTCCTCACTACAGAGGGCTGAACACTCAGACAGTGATGAAGTTAATGAGACAATTAAGTGTCTAATTAAAGGAGGATTGAGAATTGTTGATGAACAACTGTTAACAAGCAGAATCACTGAAGGACAGAAAAACACAAGCCAAAACCAAAGATGAAATCAACTGAGAAAAAAAAAACTCTAAATAAAATAATAATCAATAAAAATAAAACAAATTACACAATAAAAAAATGTTATTTTTTTAACATCTTTAAAAAAACTCATCAAATTAAACAACTTATCATGGAGCTTCACCTATTACTGACCTTTGACTTTATTTCTGTCATGTGAACAAAAGCTCTTAATAAAATTTCTGTTCATTTGAAGTCACCATGATGGAGGACAGAGTCTGCTTTAGTCAAGCTCTTCAACTTCTTACTATAAATGTCTTTTATTTTGGCTGCTATAGTTAGTGTTAATTACACTATTTAAACATATAGCATGGAAAGCTAAAAGAAAATTCAAGTGTCAATCTGAAGAGATTATTAATGATAACATTCCCGTCCTTTCCTGCTTGTTTTCTAATGCAGTATCATATTCGTTATGTGTGAGAAATAAATAATATACATAAATGAAACCACTGAAGCTCCAATAATATAAAATAAATCCACTATTTACAATGAGAATGTTTGATCTATGGCAGAACTCAAAAACACCCAGACATCAATAATTAGTCTTTGAATCTCAATGATGGTGACAAACAAAAAAATAAAAATCAAGTAAAAAAAAACACTACTGAAATATCACCTCCCAAAAACAACACAAAATAAAGGAAAAGAAAGAGATTGTAAGAACATAAAGCTGCATAATTTATTCATGCTGCAATGCATGCTGGGAGCTTTGTACAATGCTGGCACCCAGCATGCATTGCGGCATGAACTATGCAGCTTTTTTTTTTTTTAGCAACCACGGTTGAGGTTCATATGTTGATTCTTGATGCCTGTGTGTCATAAAGAGCAAGCTGCAGCTTGAATGTTTAGTGCATGACACTCTAATTATTAATTGCATCCTAATTGTTTGTTGAATTTTTTATGAAGAGCAGCAGACTGCCAGTAGTATTGTCCCATGCAGCTTTGATACAACTATATTTGCATATCTTTATGAATCACCTTAATAAACACCTTAAATTAAATCTATAACAATTAAGCATAAACAGTATAGTTTCTCTTGACCTTTCTTGCTATAACTGATGAGTTTTAGAAACACAGCTATAGCAGTCAGAGAAACATTATGGTATAACAGTAAAGCTTCAAGAGCTCAAATAAGCAGCCTCTGATCTCTATGATGGTGAGGTCAAATGAAATATTTTTAATAAAAAAAATATTCTTACAGAAATGAAGTCAAACTGTGATCAGTGAAGCTGCTTATACTATTATTTAATGGAGTTGTTTAATTCTCTGTTTTAATTCAGTTGGTTTGGTGTGAGGCTGTGTCTGTAGTTTTATTTCTTCCTTCAATTTCTTATTCCTTCAGTGATTGTGCTTGTTAACAGCAGGTGTTCAACAGCAGGTGTCTGAATTCACTTATTTGTGGTCATTCACTCTGTCTAGTGGACTAAACTGACTAATTTAAGGGCCAGGTGAATGAGGGTGTGGCGAAATTTCAGACACTCTGATTAGTTTCTCAAATACAAGGGTTTTCTACAAAGGTAGATACATGTTACTCTGTGTGACAAGGAGGCAAATCAGCTTCTAACGCAGAGAGGGTTATTTTACCTTTATCTAACTCTAGAATTTTAACACTTTACTCTGAATTACCACAACACTTGAAATTTAACACCAATGAATTTGCTGTGTAGTTAAACAAAAATTCTTAGAAAATTACAGCCTGATCTAAATCTTTAGGTGATGCATTTATATTTTTTGTTTAGATTATTGAGTGATTCATCAGTGCAAACATTCTTGGTATGTATACTGCTGCTGCTAAATTATAGTTTTATATTATCTGGTTTTATCTTTTTTGTTCACCCTATCTATATCAGA